AAAAAAAAAAAAGGAAGGGAAAAAAGATGCAATTAGATGAATTTACAGATGAAAAAAAAAAAAAAAAAATCTGCAAAAAAAAAAATCATTATAACCTATACTTTCTTGAAAATTTAGCAATAGCAAATTCCGATTAGTGCTAGTGATTTCTGCACAAAGAAAAAAAAAAAAAAACTGAGTTGGTGAATTATTTCAATGATCAAAGTTCGGATAACTTCAAACAGAACGGATGCTTAGTCATTAGGCACTTATTTAGAAAAAGGGGTCTGTAGGCGTGGTCAGCATGTTTCCTGCAGAAAATAGGCGGACTTTGCACTTTATTTGATGCCTTAGAGGCGGAACTATTACTTCACTTTCAACCAGTAGTTTTATGGGTCCTTTGTTCGAATTTAGTGTGAAAATCTCTTTCTACCCGCTCACTTCTCTCTCATCCTTATAAAAAAAAATTGAAGAAAAAAGACTAGGAAGAGGAAACCCGGAACCATTAGAACGTATAGCAGCATTATCACCAATTGTTGTATGATTAAAGCGATCGATTTGCGCAAAAATATTCGACGAACTGGTCACTTTCAATGTTGCTGAGTTGGAAAAAAAAAAAAAAAACCTGTGAACTTTGTAGCGAAAGTTGTAAATGACAATCGTTGTTGTTAGCAATAATTGAATTTTGTTTCTGAAAAATGGATTCTTTTTCGGCAAAAACAGCAACAGTGCAAATTTTTGGTTGGAAATTTTCTTACAGTTATCATCAATCATTTTTATTCAAAAATGGTTTTATCTATTTGTTTTGACTGGTTATGTCACGAATTTTGAGCAAATACTGTATCTTAAACCGCATGATGGTTTTCATCTAATGGAGAATTTGCGTGTTAAAGTGACTCACCAAGCGTAGAGACCAGACAGAATTGTTGGTGATAATAGGTGACTTTGAATATGTGCTGTCTAATGTAATCTTCAATTCAAAGTAAGGAAATCATATTTTTATTCACGGCTATGTCACCAGAAATAAAAGTTTATTTGGTTAGCACTAAACGCTTCTAATAACACTCATTTATCAGCACCTAAAACTCTTCAAAACTTTTCAACTTAAATCTTTGTTTATCAAAAAAAGAAAATAAAAAAAACTGAGAAACAGTGCAAAAAAATTTGTTTTCTCTTAAAATATGATTTGTTGAATTACAAATTGATCTCTTTTGCTATAGTTTCTTTTCACTTTCTTACAATAGCTGTAAAAATAATAATCATATTTTTCTGTCATTATAATTCACGGCTTAATAAAGCTCTTTTATGTTCACAAGAATACAATAACAAAATTATTGGCAACATCAGAAGAACAGCAGACGTTTTTTTTGTGTGTTAATTTCCAGCATCTAGCAGTTCAGTTGAAAATTTGAAGCTTCTTTTCAACCATTTTTTTTTACATTTAGTTTTGGTGTTTTTTTTTTTTTCATTTGATTCAAAATAAATGAATGAATATGAAGCTCTTTTTTTTGCGGTTTTCAATCAAAATTGTTCCTCTAGAACATCGTAAGAAACAAGTTTTAGTAATCGAGAGCTGTTATCCACTGTGGAAGAATAGCCAAAAAGGGTTACAACTGTTTAGTCATCCATAAGCTTCAGTACGCTGTCATAAAATCCACCGTTTGCGTAATGTTCGTTTCGCAGCTGAACAAAGCGGTTATCGTAAATATATTGGTGGTAGTTGCTGCGGTAACAGTAACGATAAAAAAAAGATTTTACTATTTTACAATTATTTAATTTGACCTTTTATGTTAGATGAAAAAAAAAAAGAAAGGAAGAAAATAAGTATGTTCTTTTCACTGCAAAAAAAGTAGGGCT